GGCTTGAAACCTGGTGAGTCTAACCCCAAGAATGGACTAAATAATTGGGTCAATGTGTATTGGTAGTTATATGTGTAAGGTATATATAAATTTATAATACATATGTAATATAAAATATATAACATAATTTTTAATTTTTTTTTAATTTCTAGACTTAGACTCCACCCGACCAAGGGGAGAGGTCCCAGTCCAATTTAGTTGGACCTACCCGGGTTGGGGTCTAACCTAACCCTAGGTGGATTGGGTCCGGGTTTAGGTTGACCTAGGCTCGACTTGGCCCATTTCCAACCTACTCAACCTCGCAACCAACCTCATACATTATTGGAAAGAAAACATTCCCGTAATTGAGCAAAGATTTCTAATGGTTGGATAGTAGATCTAAATGCTTACAAACTCAAAATCTATCATCTTTATTTAGAAAATACTCATTTGGTGATGTTAAAATGGATCTCAAAATCTACATTGAACAATTCTCTTAGCTAGGTCATTTATCTAAGGGAGTAAGGATATAGTAATTGCTCTTGTGGAGCATGTCCCAATACTAAGGGAGCTTTACCCTAGGGTTCATATCTTAGACCTGACCCGTGTGGTCCATATTTTAGCATGTCACTTGGAAGCACCTACCATTAAAACCAAAATTGAGGGGCATATATTATACGGTGTCTCCACTACTTAGGGATAAAGCACCAGGTCCAGACAACAAATAGACAAACCTACGGCCTTTTTCCAATTTTATCAGAACATTCTAAGACATGATTTGCTTGATCTAATTTTTAAAAGGGAAAGGATTAATGAAACAATTAATTTCACTTTTATTGCCTTGATCCCAAATGAACAGTCCATTGAGACATTGCAAGATATTAGGGCAATAAACCCCTCAATAAGTTTTATACAAAATTATAGGCAAAGTTCGTGCAACTAGGCTAAAAAAGTCTGGCAAATTAATATTTTCAGGATCCCAGTCAACTTTTGTATACGAGCAATACTGGATAATATATTGATGGCACATAAATGTATTCATTTTCAACATGTACGCCGGAAACGAGAGATCTTATTTAAATTAAATTTTGAAAAGGCATGGCGGAGTTGTTAAAATTTTGCAGCGTGAGTATTTTCTAAAAACCGATTTGACAGTATTGCCTCTGTGGAAAATTTGGTTGTCTCACTATTGCACTCTCTTCTTCGAAGTGACCTGTGGCTTTATAATCATTTAAAGTAAGTTGAAGTTTTTTTTGGATAAATAAGTAAGTTGAAGTTGATAAGCTTGTTGCAGTCGCTATAAGATTTCTAACCGTAGATCCTCCAGTCAAATGGTGCTATTTTGTTGGAATGCCGCCAAAGATGGGAGACTTGGAGTTATCATATCACAACTCTATTTTGAAACTCAAAATAGAAAGGGGTTGGGGTGGTAGCACCTTCACACCCTACTAGTTTCAAAATAGAAAGGGGTTGGCGTGGTAGCACCTTCACACCTTAGTTATCACGTTGTGGTTTTCATTTCTACTGACACCATTCCATTAACACTTTTAGAAAGATTTTCATTCCTACTGACATCATCCCATTAACACCTTTAGAAAGATTTTTATTTCTACTGACACCATCCCATTAACACCTTTAGAAAGAATTTCGAAGCTCATCACTCTTGAGTGGCTTTTCTTCTGTATTCAACTGAAACTTTGATCTTTAGACAATGATGACCATAAGCACTAGATCACAATAAAATCTCCACTGGGTCATAAAGAACCCAAAAATTTCCGAACCCATGATTTTCTTGACACTTTGATGCTAAAAGTTATCTGGTTCAAACCTGATTGATCCTTACACGAGGTTTAGTGGTTTATGGCCAATTTAAACCTCCTGATCTTTATGTCATGCTTCTCTTCATGTTTTTGTCAGAATTGATTAACTTTTCTTGGAAATTCTACCACGGGTGTCGAATGATCCTCAACAAATTGTGGTTCACTAGTTCTCCATTGTTATCTCAAAATTTCAGGTGCTTAATGCAATAAACTCAATTCTTATTTCCATCACAATGCTCCACTACAATATGATAAAAATTGGTTGATCCTTAATCCCATTACTCCACAGAGGTTAACTTTTCTCAAGAATGGCCCGGAATCAAGTTGTCCCTAGACTTCACCGAGGTGTCGTAGAAAAACTACCTAACTATTATTTTTTGGGTTGAATGTTGGTTAAAACAGGATGAATTATTTAATCTTAAAAAGCCCTTTAATATGCACAATCATAAGATGGAATGGTTAAAATTGGGTGAGAGATTCAATAGCTAATAAGTTAGGTGCATTTTGAGCAATTTTTTAAATAATATTTCCAACCTTGACCCGACCAAAGGGTCCGGGTCTAGAGTTTGGAGCCTGGTGGCTTAGAGTAGACCCCACCCATTTGCAGTCCTATGTAGAATTGCCAAATTCACATCCACAAACCCATTGCTGTTGTATCAAAGTGTTGCTTTGTGAGTATGCAATGTGCATGTACATGTATGTTTCTAAGTATATATGTATGCATGTGTTTATGTGTCATCATCATTCAAGTTTTATCCCAACTATCCGAAGTCAGTTTATATTGATCATTTGTACGATATTCTTTGACAACAATAATTTTCTGAAAAATAAATATAGTTTAAAAATATGAAAGATAACCTATCTAATTTCTTTTGGTATCTTTCAATTATGTTAACAGAATAAGTGAGAGGCTTCCAGACTTATAAAGGATATCTTGATGTACTTTGCAATGTAACTGCTTGTACTATGGCTAATGAAAATGGAGAATAGAAAGAACATGAATTAGTATTAGCAAGTTCTAACTTCTATTTTTTTTTTTGGTGAGTTTTGAATAAGATTTCCACCTTAAACAATTGAAATAAGGTGTACTTGCAAATTCCGTTTGAAAATGCACTTACAGTACAAGAAATCTTACAATGATATGAAAACCCTTTTCTGCTCCTAATTATGAAGTTTAAAGTTGAAAAAATAGTGCACATCAAGCAGATCCGTATACACTTAAAAATATAATACATGGATGATCCAAATAATATGTTACAAAGTGTAATTCTAGGGCTTGGTTTTGTTTTTTTTATCCAAATCATCTTTAGTCATCAAATATGAAATTGCTAGGCTAGGTGTGTCACAAAGTTTTGCACAAATTTTGTTGGATTTTGATGCGATGAATGGTGCATTCTCAACCACCCGATTTTCACATATGATGGCTAAGGATGATTTGGATCTTTCAGTACTAAAGATCAACGGTCTTATATATTTTTTGATGGCTAAGAATGATAATGACCTTTATTAAAAAATTCAAATAATCTTATAAAAAACAATAAAGGATCAAAATATCTCATTTTCAAATGCAGGGTTCAAATTATTATTATATTTTTTTTAAAAAAAAATTCTTTTCACAAAAGTATCTCCATAAAATGACATTATTAATAATTTTGGAATTAATCCTATTAAGGTCCAAAACCTTGAACAACTAGGGATGTTTTGATAATTTGGCTCACTTAAGTAGCTTGGATCACATTATAAGAGTACCCATGATTGTTTAAGGCTGGAAAAATAGAGCAGCCAGATGATTAAAATACCTATGTTTGTTTAGGGTTATCAATAGTTCCATGTTCGCACCGTGAACAACAATGAGCATTTTTGTAATGTAGCTTGAGCCACTTAAGTGGGCCAAATTACCAAAATAAAGTGGTAATTTGGCAAATTTTAATGAAAATTTTAAGCATGTACTTTTGCAAAATGAAATCTAAAAGTAAATATTGCATTGGAAAATGAAATCTTTTCCCCTCTAATGATTTTGTGCGGTCATTGGAACCCTTTAATGATATTCAATTAGCATAAGACCAAGGCTTTAGATAAAATGTAACACCATATCTCAAAACCCCATTAGGAAGATGAAGTAACGAAGTATGGTGCCAAAAATCCGTACGATGACCTGCAATAGCTTTCCGTTCCTGACTATGAAAATTGAAGCTATAAAATGGTGTAGATTTGATGAATCTATGGAAACTTGAAATGCACAGTATATATAATTGCTATAAGTGATGTGTTACAAAGTAAATAGACCATATATAAATAAGGGTGTGGTTTCTATAAGGTTGCAACATTAAACAATTCAATCAAGGTGCACCTCCAAAATTTATCATAATATATAATTTTGGTATAAAAATTTCTTAAGATTATCTTAAAATCTATTTTCATCTCCAATTATAAATTTGAAACTCTAAAAATCGTTAAACTCAAGTAGATCTATAAACATATGAAAATCTTGAAAATGAACGATCTAGATAATGTGTTGCAAGATGCACTATTTCTGAGATTCAAAATCTTTTTTATTTTTTTTAACATTCGTACATCTCAATGTCGAGATGAATGATTAGAGGGTTCTTCAACATTAAAACAATATTTTCCGATGGATTTTTGAAGTGCATCTGTAATTCTACATTTTAAGATTGCAACTTTATATAAACTTTCTTCTATAAATAGTATGTTACAAAATACACTATTTTTAGAGCTTAAAATCATCTTTTTACTCAAATCCATAAATTTCAAATCAAGATCATGACATTGAGGCTTTTTTAATTACCAATCAACTTAGAGCAAAGCTTGAGCACAACCCTAAAAAGCCTTGGGCACCTTTTCCACACAATTATCCAAGTATATCATAGTACCAGCAAAACAACTAGTGAGAAATTCACGTTTTGAAAATCAAGTGGAGTATGGAGTATATTTATAAAGTATACTCCGGAGTAAGCATGTTAGTAACAAGAAGGTCGTTTTTTGCTTTGTAAGCATGGGATTCGAAGTCCAAGACAATAAGTCTAAGTCACCTAATTAAGCCCTAAAACCACTTTCAATTCATTAAGACCAGCATTTCAAAACTCGGATAGGTGGGGAAGATCATTCACCCACATATCATTATCGGATCGCTAGGTGATCAAGAGTGAGTCTGGATCAATCTGAATTGATGATCTAAAGAAATGTCAAAATATAAATGGAATAAACTCACAATTTTAAAAGTTTATAGGGTGGAGACATAAAGGGGACCTAAAACAATATGAAATAAGCTTAAAACATAAAATTTATATACATGGGGGGAGGGGGGGAATCGAGCCACATACCATCCCAGAAGTACTTTGTCTTGATTGAGGCCCATCCGAATCAGCGGTTCGGATCGGAAATTGCTGGGTTTTAAAACACGGATTCAAACTTACTTAAATGCCATGAAGAATCCATTAAGTACCATCCAAAGAACACTTTTTTTTTCCTCACATATTTTGTGCATTTTTGGGACTCACTTTACCAGAATATCTTGAGAGGAAAAAAAGAAAGGATGAAATATTCAATTTCGACAAATTACCCAACCAAAATTTAGCTATTAATCCTCCCAACTACTTCATGATTAACCCCTTAATGATAGTCCACATCCAATACTCCATGGCTTAATGTGTGATTGGTGGTCTTGATCTTATCCTTTATTTGCATTGAGAGGGCTGAAAGCACTAGTGATGGCACGATAGCTTTGGTTGAAGCATTTTGAAAGGGTTTATATGATATAAGATTATTTATATTCAGATCAGGTCACAATCACTTCTAGCCATTAGATGTCAAATCCAACAATTTAGAGTATGTAACAAAGTCCAAGAGAATTTTACTTGAACTTTACACCCCATAAATGGCTTACTCCAAACCGTCCAATTTCACGCCTAATCACCAAGAGTGATTGCGACTTCTTTTTGTCAAAGGTAACTAGTAGGTCCCTTTTAAAACACAAATAGCGTAAAGGCATGCAGTGATTTCACTGTGAAGATTGAACCCTAGGGAATATTCTTTGGCCAGGAGCGAGGACGGCCATCGGATCGAAGGCAGCTTTCCTCTCAACAAATCGAGACCATTGATTTCCAAAGTGGGCCTTCCATTGATCTTGTGAGTTGCAGTGGGGGATATAGACCTTGAAGTCGAAGTTGTTACTAGTGCAACAATCGATGATTTCTTGGTTTTGAGCAAGCAAAGATTGAAGGGAGGGGCCCTCTGGATATGGTTTGTTAAAGCGAAGCAAGGCCACAAGATAGAAAATTTCATTATCTGGTACCACCACTGACATTCGAGGATCCCACCTGCAGGAGAACACAATGGTGAAAGAAAATTAGTTCACAGTAGGGGTGTTAATAGGCTGGGCTGGGCCCCGGGCTTCGGGTCCGGGCCGGTCTTTTTTTGCAAGGTTTTTAGAAACAAAAATATATTGTGATTGCATAAGCCCAGGCCCGGACCGGCCCAGCCGGATTTTTCCGGGTTCACAATGGGTTGAGTACTCACTACCACATTTTCGGCAGGGCTTGGGCCAACGATGTTGACACTAGTGTTTTAAAAATCAGACCAGAGGGTAGAACTAGTCATCCACCAGTTCCAAGCCAGTTCACAGGTTCTCCAAGGTATTTTTATCTTAAAAAATAAAAAGAACCCAATGAGAACTTGTCAGAATTAGACAGGATTCAAGGGTTCTAGACTTGGACTTGTAACCCCCCAGTTCTGAGTCAGCTCGAGTATTTTGAAGTAGGCCCAATGATTTTTGAAATATGGGTTGACACAAGAGTTTTAGAGCAAAAACTCTAGAGGGTCCGAACTCAAGTCAGGCAACTTAAGAGAAACAACGTAAGAGAATTCAACAGATCTCAATTAACATAAGATAATTTATTTTTTATTTTTCATTTCACTCATGTACCCCTTCAAAAAACATCTTAAAAAATACTTAATGATGAGGTACTTGAGTGAAATGAGACTAAAAAAAAAAACATTTTAATCTTAATTGAAATATTTTAATCCCCTAAATAATTTTGTAAAGGATTATTAGCCTTTAAAATAATATTTTCCAAACAATGAAAAATATTTGAAAAAGAAAAAGAGCTAAAATAGAGCAAATTATAAGCTTACTTGCTTTTGATGAGTGGGTAAACTAGAATACTTCCTCCAATCCCATTCTTGAGTATTTTGTTGAATACCTTGCTGTCAAATTCTTGTATGTTTTTGCTAGAGATGAAGAGGTTAAGCCAAGGATGAGGTGCATCCCAAGTACCATTGGCTTTGGCTGCTTCCTCATTACTCTTCACCCTTTGAAGGAAGTCATAGTATGTTAGGTCACAACTAAATTTGAGGCCTCTCCTAAATTTAAGAGGTTCTAGCATTTGGCTCACTCTCTGCAAAAACAATATCCCATCAATGGAAACTCATGAAGTTAGGGGTAGAAAAAAAAAAAAAACGCCTTCATGGAATTGCATTTTCTTTTTTTTTTGCATTCCTTTTCTTTATTTTGTTATGTTTATTGAGAGAAGGCTTAATTTCTTGTCGGTGAATGAAGTAAAACTTATCTCACTAAGTATTAGCATTTCAAAACCCGAATCGGTGAGCGGATTGTTCACCACAAATCCATGATGGATTGGTTGATCGGCAATCTATATTGGGTTTGGATTAGTCCAAATTGGTGATCCAAATATATTAAAAATAAATGTCATACAATAAAAGATGAAATAGGGTTTATGGGTTGGGAATTTAGAGGGACCTAAGCCAACATTTAAAAAATAAAAAAAATAAAAAAAAATTACATAAGGATGTTTTAGGGGGAAAACAGGCCGGAATCATACTATCCCAAAATCAGTTCGGTCCTGACCGATTCCTATCTATATCGGCAACTCGGATCGTAAACCGCCGGGTCTTAAAACACTACCAAGGATAAAAACAACCAAATGGAGAAAATCCACCTTCACCTCCTTCTCTCTCAAGAAAAACATTTTGCTAAAGCCATGATGAAAACCATTGAGGATTTTCCTTTCACAGAAGTAGGTGAAAAAAGAATTTCCTTGTAACCCCCTGGGAAAACTTGTATTCGGTACAAGAAGGTTACAACCTTGGGGATTGGATATAAGGGGGGTGCTAGAGATTTTTCAATGACCGGGTTCAATATCTACATAATATTTTTTGAACTTTGTTATTTACTCCAAACTACCAGACTTTACATCATAAGGGTGCCATTGCCATTGACAAAGATATGCAATAAAATATGTTGTAAAGGTAGGCTTGAGAATTTATCCGATGCGACTCGAAACTCGAATTTCAGACCCGATATGGATCCTGACATGGGTCCAAGATTTGGATATGGGTCGGATCAGGATCCAAATTTAGGATCCAAATAGTAATTTGCATCGGATCTTGGTACATGTGGTTGGTACATGTGGATGAGATCTGGATCTAACCTCTCTCTCTCT